CGGAGGGTGGGGTTTGTGCTGTGACGGGAGAAGCAGGGCGGGAATTAAGTGTTGCGCTCCGGGCGCCATCATAGGGCGGTGGTCGTGGAACAATAGAAACAACATCATCATTGTGAGCACTTCTATGATAAACATACACAATTTGGCCCTCGAACTCCAGTTCTTCCTCGACCCATCCTTCCCGTTTCAAACCTCTAGCTACCCGATACCAAGCCTCTGCAACCTTCGTAAGTCCATTATCCAACAACAACCCTTCCTTGTCTATGAGTAGCTTTCTCCAAAACTCAGGCTGCAACCTCCCACTAGGCAACATCTGAAAGCCACACACCTTAGCAATCTTTTTAAGTTTCAACATTGCATCTTCCCCTGCCCTTTCTTTCACAATGTCACAAGCTAGCAAGCCCTTAGCAGGTCTAGCGTGTTCCTGTCCCATTTTCGAGTAACCAAAGCGTGCCACACGTGGAAGACAAAGAAGTAGAGAAAGTATAAGGGGAAAAAGAATGTCTACAGTGCTCGACTGCCACGAGAACTTGAGCCCCGTGCGTCTTCCCCAAACGTAGACCAGTCACGGAGATCCGCCCACCCGGGGTGGTGGTCACGGACGGGAGCGAATGAGCGTGGGTGACTAACACAGCTCTGGGCAACAGGCACAGGAAAGATAAAGAACAAATGGAGAAAAAGAACGTGGCTGTGCTAATGAGAAGACATTTGCAAAAATCACAAACATACAAATGAGCGTAAACTCTGGAATCCAGAACTAACCACACAATACACACACACACACCGAGGGTACCCACACTGTAACAACAATTAAACAGAAACCACAGAATGATAGAGAGCAAAATAGCCATGTACATGTTAACACCACCGGTGTCAGATATTCAGGGTATAACAATCCCCAGCCTTCACCCACCAGGCTGGTCCCGGCAAAACACTGGTACCAAAGGAAATACTGCAATAATCAAACAAAAATCCCAGCCCCACCAGCTGCAATGCGTTCCCTGCCCGCTAGGCAGTCAAGCTAACATAAAAACCCAGCCCCACCGGCTGAAATGCGTTCCCTGCCCGCTAGGCAGTCAAGCAACATAGAAACCCAGCCCCACCGGCTGAAATGCGTTCCCTGCCCGCTAGGCAGTCAAGCAAACATATAAACCCAGCCCCACCGGCTGAAATGCGTTCCCTGCCCGCTAGGCAGTCAAGCAAACATATAAAATGCGTTCCCTGCCCGCTAGGCAGTCAAGCAAACATATAAAATGCGTTCCCTGCCCGCTAGGCAGTCAAGCAAACATATAAAATGCGTTCCCTGCCCGCTAGGCAGTCAAGCAAACATATAAAATGCGTTCCCTGCCCGCTAGGCAGTCAAGCAAACATATTAAATGCGTTCCCTGCCCGCTAGGCAGTCAAGCAAACATATTTTAAAGGTATAATAAACACACACACATAAATGAATACAGAAGGCAGATAGACAATCGACAGGTTCACTTAAAAAGGGCGCACCGGATGAGTTAATTACCTGTCTCTAGTAGCCTTCTGGAAGCCGGAAGTGGACTCGGAGACAGACCGGCACAAAACAGGAGAATAACACAGGCAACGGCTGTATTATGGAGGTGATCAGGCTCCGCTTGTCCCACTTTCCGGAGGTCCGCTCCGGTCCGTTGGTTCCGGCCCTCCGAACCGGCTCTCCGGTGGGCCCCACGTTGGGCGCCAATTGAAGTGGAAAAATCAATTAAAGTATTGATTATTTCTTTGTGTATCTGCCCCTGGCCAAATCAATGAAACAATGCGTGCACGCTCCCTGAAGTAATTCACACCAGACACAGGTTCTAGGTTGTTGAATAACTTGAGGAAAGTTTATTCAGAGGGGACGGCAAGTCCCTTTTAAAGCAAAATTACATCACAAGCATTGTCAGAGATAACATGGAATAATACATCAATAATTGGTTAGGTGTTAAGTGGTTGCTTCAATGCTCTGCCTACTGTAGGTGATGTCACCGGGGCCATGTGATCTACTTGGACTTTGCCAAGGCATTTGATACGGTTCCTCACAATAGGTTAGTCTTCAAACTAAAAGAAATTGGTCTAGATGAATATTCCTGTTCTTGGGTAGAACATTGGCTTAAGGACAGAGTACAACGAGTTGTCATTAATGGTAAATTTTCAGGCTGGACAAAAGTGGTAAGTGGTGTCCCTCAGGGTTCTGTTTTGGGACCACTTCTATTTAACATATTTATAAATGATCTTGAAATAGGCATTGAAAGCCATGTATCAGTGTTTGCAGATGACACAAAACTTTGTAAAGTAATAAAATGTGAGCAGGATATTGCTTTGTTGCAGAGAGATTTGGATAGATTGGGGGACTGGGCACTAAAATGGCAGATGAAATTTAACATAGAGAAATGCAAAGTTATGCACTTCGGGGTTAAGAATGCACAAGCAACTTACACACTAAATGGTAGTAAATTAGGGATAACCACACACGAGAAGGATTTGGGCATTGTTATAGACAACAAATTAGGCAGCAATATGCAATGTCAATCTGCAGTTGCTAAGGCCAGTAAGATTTTGTCATGTATAAATAGGGGCATAAATTCTCGGGATGAAAATATAATTTTGCCTCTTTATAAATCGCTGGTAAGACCACACCTTGAATATGCTGTGCAATTTTGGGCGCCTGTTCTAAAGAAGGATATCATGGCACTGGAGAGGGTCCAGAGACGAGCTACAAAATTGATCAAAGGAATGGAGCATTTTAGTTATGAAGAAAGGTTACAAAAATTAAATCTGTTTCGTTTGGAAAAACGGCGCCTGAGAGGGGATATGATAACTTTATACAAATATATTCGGGGCCAGTACAAACCTTTATCTGGAAATCTATTCATAAACAGGGTTATACATAGGACACGAGGTCACACATTTAGGCTGGAAGAAAGGAGATTTCATCTAAGGCAAAGAAAAGGTTTTTTTACAGTAAGAACAATAAGGATATGGAATTCTCTGCCTGAAGAGGTGGTTTTGTCAGAGTCCATACAGATGTTTAAACTGAAATTGGATAAATACTTACAAAAACATAACATACAGGGATATAATTTCTAATTAGTGGGGTAATAGCTGATTGATCCAAGGAGACATCTGACTGCTATTTTGGGGTCAAGAAGGAATTTTTTCCTAGTTTGTGGCAAAATTGGAAGTGCTTCAGACCAGGTTTTTTGCCTTCTTTTGGATCAACAGCAACAACATTTCTGAGGAAGGCTGAACTTGATGGACGCAAGTCTCTTTTCAGCTATGTAACTATGTAACTATGTAACTATGAGAATCTCCCACGGTTTCCCGGCGCCATCTTGGTGCACGAGGTAGTTAGTCGATGTTAGGAGGGAGAAAGGAAGGGGGAGGGGGAAGGGGCTAGAAGCTTCCAGCAGCCATCTTGATTATAACGTGTGTGCTTAGCTATATATGTATATATCGTGAAATGAGTAAATAGACATTTTTCACTAATTAGGAAATATGTGTAGACCTTATTTCCACAACATATATTATATATATACGTGTGTAATTTAATTATAAGTGTATTTTTATATTAATATAAGTACATATTAATATAAAAATACACTTAGTATGGCATGATATATATATGATATATAGACATATATTATATAGATATAATATATGTCTATATATCATATATACACATATATAATTTTTTTTAATTTTTTTTTATTAACACTAACTTTATTTATTTTTTTGATTTTACACTAGCAGGGAGACTGCCTGTCAGCACAGACATTCCCCTGCAGGCAGACACATGGACACCTATTGTGACCATGTGATCACTCTGTTAATCGCTCTGTTAAGCGATCACATGGCCACAGGGGTCCTATTCCAGTGTGGGGAGACTGTCTGGGCTGCAGGCAGTCTCCCCACACCGGGAACGACGGCGATCAGGTAAGTAACTCAGACCGTTAGGACGGTTCAGGACCGTCATCGGTCGGCAACGCAAAAATGCCGATGATGGTCCTGAACCGTCCTCGGTCGTTAAGGGGTTAAATGCACTAGTAGGTGAATAGCGTGAATTAAATACACAAGGTAATGAATAAATGCTTAGCTTCCCTTTTAGTTTAGGATTAACACGACGATCTCCTCAAATCTTCAATCAACGTGCATACAATACAATCCAGATAAGTGAGACAAAAGTAGAACATAGTGCAACACTGTAGAACCCAAATAGGGAGATATATATGTGCCAATGGGTCACTCACACTTTGTATTCAAAGTATAGGCATTCAGGTGGTCTTTGAACGTCAATCTTATCAATTCTTGGTAATATGGGTCTCGATTATATGTAAGAATAAAGTATATTCTAATAAAGTGACTGTTAAAACAATTGTATAGTACAAAAATGTATTACTTATACAGAAGTTAAAAACAGCTGGCATCAGGTAAAAAGGTAATATCAACTCATTCAACGCGTTTCCTCCCTGTCAGGGACTTCCTCAGGAATGGTTTTCAGTTAAGAAACAAGTGCCAAATGCACTGCGTGAGCACGATGTGCGGCATGCCCATACTATAATGAGGACATTAGGACATGGGTAGGCTGTATACGTGTCTGTGCAGCTGCACTGCCACCACGGGTTGGGAACGCCTGTTTTAGATGATGTCAGGGGCAGCAAAATACCACCCCTGTCAGAATGCCGCCTGGAGCTGTGGCTCCAGGGCGGTCAATGAATGGGCCAGCCCTGACTCCATGTAATTTTAAGAAAATCAGCATTCACAGGATTTGCTGCAAATAGTGTGACTGCTATATTAATTCCATTTCCATACACACTGACTTACCTGCTGTGTATGGAGATTAAATAAATACTTTTGGCACAAGTCGTGTGAATGCCAATTTTCTTTAAATTCCGGGGAGTTAGGGGCGGGGCCTAACCGCAGAGCTGTGCAGACGCTCATCTCAGCAGCTCCTACTAAACCGAGCACTTAACGCTAAAATTAACTGCCGCACAATCGTGACCTCAAAGCTACCACTCGAGAGAGGACACCGAGGTGCAGAGATCGGTACCTCTCAAGCAACGAACTGAGCACAGCACACAATGAGGCCTACAAGCGTGGCAGGCGCAGGGGAGGCGGCCGATCCCCAGCAGCAAGGCCACGCCGGAAAGCTGACTGCAAGCCCTCGTTCCCCCCCCCTCTGGACCGGTGGGGGTCATCCCGGTCCACCCCCAAACGACTCCTGGGCGAAGCAATGGGCTAATACAGGCTCCATGCAGCCCAAAAGCTACCGTCCCTGAGACCACCAAGATGGCGGAAGCATCTCGCATCGCCGACACGTCTAATACATGGTGGGAAACTGAGAGGCGACTAAACAGTATATTCACTGCTTTCTGGGAGTCCCTAGAAGCCCACATGAGAGGTTCAGAGCCTGAAGAGATCCCCCAGACTTCGCCACAGGGTACCCCACAAGATGCCAGATGGGGAATAAGAGCAACACAGCCCCAACGGCAGAGGCATAAAAAAGGGCGACACTTACCCGAAGTGGCAGGGGCAGAGGCAACACGCACAACCCAAAAAAGCGGATGCTGGAAGGCGGCGAGTGGTCAAACACCGGCATCTCCCAGGCAAGGCGGGGAAGCGGGGGGAACCGCCGAAGACAAGCACAAGACCACCCCAAACAAGGCAGGTGAAGCTACACACAGCACCCACAGCAACTCAGAACAGCCCAGGGGATCTCAGCACCCACACGCCAAGGAGATCGCACCAGCTGCACCACCTACAGCAGGGGGTACCCACCCAGCCCCGTCAAGGCATCGGCTGACCCAAAAGGGACTGAGACTCTAACCCAGATAGTATAATCAGACACATAACTCCTTTTGCCCCACTGGAACTCACACAAATGTCTGATGACATATATTACTTATTTCGTTTTCTTACTATGTTCAGTTTTGCTCCTTAAAAATCCTATCACTCGCAGCCAAAATGGAGGTCTGCATATTAAGCTAAGATGCTAATGTAGGGTTTTACTACTTTTCACTCTTAACTTTTAATTTTTAAATCAGTGTTTTTACCTCCTGCTCCACATAGTTAACCCTCTAGCACTGTACCTATCTAGTTTGTTTACTTTTCATAAAATGCGCAGATTAAGCTAGCAAGTTCAACTGCAAATTGTAATCTATAGTAGTCTATGTTTTGTTTGAGCATCTATATTCAAAAAATGTGCACTACTTTAAATGCCATAATTCTAAAATCAATGTGTTATGACCACGCTTACGTATGTCATTGTGGCAGAGTAAGCTGCTTTGTTAACTCTTGCACGCAAAAAATAAAGAATTTAATAAAAAAAAAAAAAATAAAAAAAAAATTACGTGGAGTTATATGCTGCTTATATTAGAGCACTCAGACATCATGTATAACACTGTGCATTTAAAAAGTGAGTTCATACCGGTTTGCACACATCTGTTTCTAAAATGTAATACGTTTGCCAAACCGGTCATTAAATGGCAGACTGATCTGTCGGGCCCGACATCCGAAAGGGACCGCTTGGCTTGCCCCTTTACCTAGTCTGCCCCTTGTATTTTACAGCTTTTTAGCTGCCCTCCATTAGCGCTCTGTTCTGTGTGAAGAGGTAAATCCCTCTGCTGATGATCTCTCTGTGTTAGGGTTAAGGGAAGGGTTTTGGTTGAGTAAGTGTAGGTTAAGGGTTAGAGTTAATGCTGTTTTAGGGTTAATGATGGTGTAGGGTTCAAAGGACATGGTGTGCACTATAAACTTGTCATCTCATTGGTGATAGTGCCTGGACTACATTTCCTTAGGTATAACCTGTAGGTTGACAAACGTTTATAAAGGGCGGGGCTTTAGTCAAGCTCCACAGACTATGTCAAATTTACCATTGGACATCTATGCACATACTCACCTCCCTACAGCAGCATGTTATTTACAGAAGAGGCGTCTCACAGATCTTTGGTGTGGACTCTCTCGTGGTCAAGTGAGGGCTCCTGAAGCCTATTAGTGTACTGACCAAGAACATGATTTTACTCTCATGCCCAGCAAAGGGCAGAATTTATGATTTCCAGGCACTATTATTTTGAAAAAGTGAGAAGATTGAGTTAAACTGATCCAAGGGTCTAAAAAGATTTGAGGAGTCAGGGAGGAGGGAAAGGAAGAGGAATTGATCCTTCAGCTGGTAGCCAGTGATTTTCACATCCAAGTTCAGGCAGACAATTCAAAATGAAACATTTTTCACTTGGGAGTCTACATTAATTCTGTATAAAACGTCCTTGTGGCCTTCTTTATGTTGGTGAGACCACAAACAAAAATAGGAATCACCTAACTATGCATAGGTCAGACATCCACACTAATCCTCCAGTGTCTCAATTGAAATTGTAAATGATTGACTCAGTTCCTATTCAAACAAGAGGAGTGCATAGACAGAAACTCTTTAAACAACATGAAGCCTTCTGAATTCACACTTTGGACTGTCTTGAAGCAAAAGGTTAAATATGGATTTGGGTTATTGTCAGTGGCGTACTGCGGGGGTGGCTGTCCGCCCCAGGTGCAACCAGTTAGGGGGGTGCCTCCAGGGCTGGCCAGTCTTGTGACTCTGTGAGCTGTGTGGCTGCCACCGGGAGCCACACAGCTCACACACGCAGGGGCTGGGAATTCAGCAGTACAGAAGTACTGCACAGAGAATTGGGGGCGGAGCCAACTCGGCAGTGGATGCGGAGCTAAACCGGATGCGGGGGCGGAGCTACAGCCAGCCTCCATTTGCTGCCTTTCACTGCAGCACACAGAGGAGAAGCAGGAAGGAGTCCCTGCTTCCCCAACTCCAACACACCAGGGACTCACTGACTCCACTCCTCCACCAGTAAGTAAGAGAGAAAGTGTGAGTGTGTGTGAGACTGCTTGTGACTGTCTGCCTGTGTGTGTGTGTGTGTGAATGTCTGCCTGCAACTATCTGTGACTGTGTGTGTGAATGTCTGCCTGTGACTGTGTGTGTGAATGTCTGCCTGTGACTATCTGTGACTGTGTGTGTGAATGTCTGCCTGTGGCTGTCTACCTGTGACTGTGTCTGTGAATGTCTGCCCGTGACTATCTGTGACTGTGTGTGTGAATGTCTGCCTGTGACAGTTTACCTGGGACTGTGTGTGAATGTCTGCCTGTGACAGTTTACCTGGGACTGTGTGAATGTCTTCCTGTGACTGTGCGTGAGACTGACTTTTGGTGACTGTGTGTGTGTGTATGTGTGACTGTCTGCCTGTGCCTGTATGTATGAATGTCTGCCTGTGATTGTCTACCTGGGACTGTGTATGACTGTCTGCCTGTGACTGTGTGTGACTGTCTGAATGTCACTGAGTGTGTGTGTGACTGTGTGTGTGTGACTGTCTGTCTGTAACTGTGTGTGTTACTGTCTACCTGCAGCTGTGTGTTTGACAGTGTGCAAGTGACTATGTGTTTGGTACGGTGTGTATGTGACTGTATTTGACAGTATATGCGTATAACTGTGTACACCTGACTGTCTTCGCCCTGCAGTGAATCGGCACATAACATCATCCAAGCATCGGCGTCATATTACAGGATGTGCAAGGGACGTGTGCATGAAGAGCACAGAGATCCCAGCAGCAACCACTGACTACCAGGAACTGAGGATCCACTCTAGCCCTCCCAGAGCAAGGTAGGGGAGGCAGGGTGGACCTCTTAATTATTAAACGTATGTATGTATGTGATGTTTGCGTGTGTATATCTAATTCAGGGCCGGATTAACATAGGGGCTGATGGAGCTGCAGCTCCAGGCCCAGGCCCAGGCCCATGGAATAGGCCCATTTAAAAAAAAAAAAAAAAAAAAAAATTTTTTTTTTTTACACACTACTCTTAGGTTTACCACCTGACTGGTATTTTAATGGCACAGACGGTATTTGAGGCTGCCTGGCTGTGCCGGTATTGCAGTAATACTGGCAATACAAATGCAGGTAATTTTCTCAGAATAAATGGAAATTACTCTGCAATACCAGCACTGGCCAGTAGGGGTCACTGTGTGTGGAGAGAGGCAGAGATAGGAAGTTACAGAATATACCTGCCTCTCTCTACTCACTGATCTGCAGCTACACAGCACAGAGAGTCCAGACAGCAGCTCTACAGCTCAGATAAGTGAGGGATGGGGGTAAAGGCAGCAGGGACACATGGGGACACTGAGACACTAGGGGACATATGGGGACACTGAGACACATGATGACACATACACTAGGGGACACTGAGACACTAGGGGACACTGAGACACACAGACCTAGGGGACACAGACACTAGGGGACACTAGGGACAGACACTGGGAGGGGACACTGAGACACATGGGGACACTGAGACACAGGGGACACTGAGACACTTGGGGACACTGGAAAACATGGGGACAATGAGACACTAGGGGACACTGAGACACTTGGGGACACTGGAAAACATGGGGACACAGACACTTGGGGACATATGGGGACACAGACACTAGGGGACACAGACACTAGGGGACACTGAGACACTAGGACACCTGGGGACACAGACACTGGGAGACCTGGGGACACTGAGACACTTGGGGACACTGGAAAACATGGGGCCACTGAGACACTAGGGGACACTGGGACACTTGGGGACATATGGGGACACTGAGACACTAGGGGACACTGGAAAACATGGGGACACTGAGACACTAGGGGACACTGGGACACATGGGGATGCTGAGACACATGGGGATGCTGTGAGACATTGGGACACGGAGACACCATGTCCACCAGCCAGTGTCCCTAGTGTCTTAGTGTCCCCAAGTCTCCCAGTGTGTCTGTGTCCCATGTCTCTTAGTGTGCCTAGTGTCCCCATGTGTCCCAGTGTCCCCATGTCTATGTCCACAACTGTCCCCATGTCTCCCCAAGTGTCTGTCTCCCAGCCAGTGTCCCCTAGTCTCCCAGTATCCCCTAGTCTCACAGTTTCCCCTAGTCTCCCACTGTCTGTGTCCCTAGTGTCTTAGTGTCCCCAAATGTTTCAGTGTCTCCATGTCTCCCAGTGTCTGTGTTCCTAGTGTCTCAGTGTGCCTGGTGTCCCCATGTCTCCCAGTGTCCCTATATGTCCCAGTGTCCACATGTCTATGTCCACAACTGTCCCAGTGTCCCCAAGTGTCTGTCTCCCAGCCAGTGTCTGTGTTCCCATGTCTGTGTCCCTAGTGTCTTAGTGTCCCCAAATGTTTCAGTGTCCCCATGTCTCCCAGTGTCTGTGTCCCTAGTGTCTCAGTGTCCCCATATCTCTCAGTGTCCTCAGTATCCTAGTGACATGGGGACACACTGAGACATTGGGACACTGGGAGAAATGGGGACACAGACACTGGGAGACTAGGGGACTGGGCGACATGGGGACACTGACACTGTGATACATAGGGACACTGAGACACTGGGTGAC